GGGAACACTTTTATTTATCTGAGCTAATTATGTCATAAGTTACTCACCTCTCTGTTCTTTAAATGTTTACTTTTCTTGGCCTCCATGGTATCGTCTGTAGGACTTACTCCAGTCTCTTGGACTTCTGTCCCAGTTTTCTTTTTAAATTTCCCTTTTTCCACATATTTGTGTCCTGTTGGTCCTCATCTTTAGTACTCTTCTCCTTCAACCTGCTTTACCTGTTCTACACTTTTGCAGCCACCTAGGACCTATACATTAGGTACTACCAAACCTGTTTTTCTACCCTCAAGCCCTCTTCTAAATGATATACCCATTATTTACCACTTAGTTATTCTTGATTGTCTTAAATATTATTTTCTCTTCCAGCTCTGTGCCTTCATACTTAAAAGCAACATCTTTCACAACTACCAAAATTAGAAATAGAAATTGTTCATCTTCCAACAAAGTCCAATAAACAGATTCTTTGATACCATCTCCTAAAATTGGTTTGCCACTGATGAAATTTGAATTATGTCCTAGCTCTGGCTCTAATTAGTTCTGACCTCTGAAAAGTTGCTCCTTCTGGGCGTCAGTTTTTCTCATCTCTAAAAATGTTTGAACTAGGTCAGAGTTTGGCAACTAGGGCCTAGGAGCCAAATGCACTCTACTACCTATTTTTGTAAATAAACGTTTGTTTACAGCTGCATTGTGCTACAGCAGCAGAGTTGAATAGTGACAGAGGCTCTATGGCCTACAAAGCCTCAAGTATTTACTCTCTGGCCTATAGACCGCTGTTCTAGAGGATCTTCCATTTAGTTTCCATCTCTACTAGCCAGCCTGGGGAGAACCTGGTTTTAAGATTTAAAAAATAATAAGAAAAAGAATAGAGAAATGATAGTTGAGTATTTGGCAAGAGAGTTTAAACATAGGAAATCCTATGACATTAGAATCTTTATTTCCCCATCTAATGGCCTTAGTGATTCAAGATCATGTGGCTGTAACAAAGGGATAAGAAGATTTCCATTGCTGCTTTGTGGTAACAGACTAATTTATTTGGTTAATTGTTTTTAAATGATTGGTAGTGTATAGAGCAGTGATTCCATTTACTGGTTAGTAATTAGCTTCTTAAAAGTTACGGATACACATATTTTGAAGGTAAAGGACATAGTTAAACTCTGACCATCAATTAGAATTATAATAGTCTTTTTTATATCACTGTCGAAGCAGATTATTTCCCATTGTAATAAAAAATTTTCCGCATGTACATACTGTGTATATTGAAGGAAGATTCCAAGTATGTAAAAAATGCTTAAATAAAAGTCATAAATATTGAACCTTAATTATATATGCGCTAACATGTGGCAATGTCTGCAACTGACTTTGGAATGTATCAAAAAAATAAGGTGGATTGATGTATGGATAGATGGATGGAAATGTGATGAACCAAACATAGTAAAACATTAATCATGGAATCTGGGTAGTTGGTATAAAGGAAGAGGGTTTTCACTGAAAAAAAAAAAAGTGCGACTTTTCTCTATGTTTGACATTTTTCATTACAAAATTTTGGGTAAATGTTTAGATGTGAGTGGCTGTGAGACATGAATCTAGGGAGAAGATATGGGAGTGAAAACACATATACAGTATACTTCTTGCTTTCACATTAAATAAATTATTAAAAGTTCGAATGTTAAGCAAACCTTGTGTATATTGCATATGTTTCTCAGCTGTTTTATTGTGTATTTCACAGATTTACTTCAATTGGGAATGTTCTTAGGATATAACAAAAAACAGTAAGAATTAAATATTCACTTCAAGGAGTGTCCTTGAATTCTCTCACATAGCCCCTATCAGAAAGTTAACCAAATGGCTGATAAGTCCATGTGAATTCTGTCTATACAGTAAAAGGAAGGATTTACTAATGGACATACAATTCTCATTTTTTTAGCATTCTTACTAACTTGTGGGGAGTTAGGACTGTGTCTTGTGTTAACAAAGTACTGAATAAATAGAGGGGAACTGCACAGCAAATACTCACTGATTCAAAAGTGGGCATTTCTTAAGTCTTATTTTGTTTATTGTGATATATATCATAATGCCAAAATATATTAAAATGTGTTCAATGTAAAGCACAATAATAAAGCAAATATCAATGTAATTATCACTCATGTTAAGAATTAGAGGAATTACTTATGCCCCATCCCAGTCACAGTCTCTCTTATATTTTCCTATTAAGCTGAATAATCTAATGAATATTCCCATTTTCATTGCTAGTTAGTGTACCATTTTATGACTATGCTACAGTGTATTTACTAATTCTACTTTTGGATTTTTGCTTGTGCCTATAGTATTTTATAGTATTTTATTATGTTACATTGTTGCTTTGGATGTATAAAAAAGTTTCTCTAGGCTAGAGTATATAACTTAAAATGGAATTATTAAGTTGTAGGGTCATTGAAGGTATGAATTTTTAAATACTCATTTATTTGTGTCATTGCTTTTGGTATTTTTGTTCAGCAATTAAAAGAATCCAGTGGGGTTGCATTTGGGGGGCAGAATTATTGATTAGCTCACTCTTCCTTTTTCACTCCTCTCCCTCTTTCCCAGTACATACACACACACACACACACACACACACTTCATCAAGGGGTAAAATAGGATATAAATGTTTGCTTAATTATTTAAAAATAAAAATTAAGATTCCTTTTTAGCCTTCATATTTTAAGTGTGAATAGTTCCTGACTTAATAAGTGTCTGATACCTGCAGTCGCAAAGGCCAGAGACTTCTCTTCCCAGTACTAGATATAATACCTTGCTCCTCTCTATAAAGCTGGACTTCTGCTACAAGAAGGAAGGGAGGTTATTTAACTAGACATTTGTTTCCAGTGCCCAAAAGCAAACTTTCCACAGAATGATGTGTTTATAATTTAGATTATTTTTATACATCTTTTCTTTTCTTTCCAGTAACATCAGGTGTTTGCTCAGAAATTGTCTTTTAGGAATTAAAGGTCAGTTTATAGTTAACTAGATTCCTTTTTGACTTATATTGACAAATAATACTACAGCTCTGTAGCTCAGTGTCCTTTCCACTTATCTTACTTAAACTTTATGTATTCGAATATTTAAATAATTTCTGAAAGATGTAATTGGCATACAGTAAAGTGCACATATTTAAAGTATACAGTTTGGGAAGTTTTGACATATGTGTGCACACATGAAACTACCACCATGAAATCAAGATAATGAACATACTCCTCACCCCCAGTAATTTCCTAGTGCTCTTTGTAATAACTTGTCTTCAGCCTTTCACAATCATGGCTTTTCTTTCTGTTGTTGTAGACAAAATTTTCTAGAATTCCATATGAATGAAATTATACAGTAGGTACTCTTTTTGGTCTGGCTTCTTTTACTCGGGTATAATTATTTTTAGATTCATCCATGTTGTTTTTTTGTTACTGAGTAGCATTCCATCATATAGATATACCACCGTTTGTTTATTCATTCATCTGTTGTGGACATTTGTTTCCACTTTTTGGCAGTTGCAAAAAAGATGCTGTGCACATTTGTGTAAAAGTTTTTGTATGAACATATGCTTTCATTTCTCTTGGGTAAATACTTAGGAGTGGGAGTGATGGATGTATGGTAAGTATATGTTTAACTTTTTAACATACTGCCAAAGTGTTTTCTAAGGTGCCATACAATTTCACATTTCCACTAACAGTGGATGAGAGCCTCCATTGCTCTACAGCCTCACCAAGACTTGGTATACACAATCTTTTTTTTAACTTTACTCTTCTGAGTAGGTATGTAGGTGGTGTCTTACAGTTTTACTAGTATTTCCCTGATGATAATGATGTTGAGTATTTTTTCATGTGCTTATTTACGTAATATCTGTGTCTTCATGGGTAAAGTGTCTAGTTGTATCTTTTGCCCATGGGGGGAGGGGTGGTGTTTTTCCTTTTGTTTTTGAATTATAGGAGTCTTTTGTATATTCTGTATATAAGTCCTTTGCAGAATGTATGTTTTATAAATGTTTTCTTTCAGTCTGTAGCTTGCCTTTTTGTTTTCTTAAGAGTGTCTTTTGAAGAACAAAACTCTTAAAAATCTTGATTAAGTTCTGTTTTTAATGAAGTCTACAGAATTAGAACCAAAAAACGAACAAGCAGAAAAATTCCTGAAGTTCTTACTTTGCCCTGCTTGGTTGCCACCACAAATCAAGTACTTAGTACATTACACTCCTTCTGTGGCACTGGTTTTGGATTGTAAATGGCCGAATATTTTAACAAATTTGTTTTATACCAGGCTTTAGAATCATAAAGATGAGTAATGTATGTCATCTTTTTTCAAAGTGCTCATTTTTAGTAATTAATGTTTCTTCCTGTCATGTCTCATGCAGTCAGTTCTGTATGCTTTCCTTTGTCCAGCGCATACTGTATCTCTAGAGACATTGAAATGCTGAACATATTTTCCTATTGTATTATAGTTAGACTTTTTTCCACACACAAACATATAAGTTCATTATAACAAGAAATCTCTTGTTCTTTGTAGTCTCCATATGTCATCACATAGTTCCTTGTACACAGGGAACAATCACTAAATATTCATTGATTGAATAGAATTATTCATGACACTGTCTGAGTAAGGTTCTTCTGATTAATTTATTGATAATAAAACCTTTGGCTATACTTTACTAAATGAACACAAGATCTCATTTCAGATGCCCATGATTGCAATAGATGGTTTTTCTCAATAGAACAAAGATGTTTGATTTTTACTTGAATGTTTTTAAGTGATCTTTTTGTATAACCCTGGTTTAACATGATTATCATAAAAGTCTGTGTAGGGTAGTAGAGCATAGGATCTAGAGTCAATTAAAAATCTTCTGCGAAGTCTGCTGTATTTAATGAATTATATATTTCATGACTTTGGAATTCTTTTTTCCAATGAAACCAATACATTAAAACATAAAGACTGATTTGTAAGTATATAGAAAAATACGGCAATAACTTGCTTTCTCTGTCTAGGTCCTGGGGACACCAACAAGGGAGCAAATTAGAGAAATGAACCCAAACTACACAGAATTCAAATTCCCTCAAATTAAGGCACATCCTTGGACTAAGGTGAGTCAAAATGAGTTTTTTAAAAAGCACATTGACCAATAGTTAACTTAAACTTGGGTTTCTCATTGTTCTTAAACTAAACTATTTTGGTACTAGATAGCTGCCTGAGTACAAAGTACACAGCAGTTCTGAATGTAAAGATAGTTGGGTAGTTGTACTTTAGTGTTGCATTGACTGTGTATAGTTTTGTTCCCACTGATTTCCTGTAGACAGTTTTCAGCCTGGGTTTTTATTTGTAGGTTGAGGACAGTGTACCTATACCATTAAAATACAGAATTTCATTAGGAGTAGTATCTTATATATAAATTTTGACTACTTAAAACTCAAAAGTTAATTTCTTTACACAGAGGTACTTACTCAGTATCATATAGCATATGAAAACATGTATTTCTTATATTTTCTTTATTCTTTTTTGAAACTGTTTGTAGGTCTTATAAATGATGCTGTGTGTTTTTCTTCTTTTGTTTGCTTTCCTGTTGGTATTTTGGGAGGGGAATAAAAAGATTTGATCTTGTTTGGAGTATACATTGAAAGCATCGATATGTTAACAGGATGTCATTAGCCGTTGGATAGCCTAACCAATTCTTAGAGCATAGTTGGAACCAATTTGAAGAGCATAAGTACTAATTTACCAGAAATCTTTATTTTTTGCTTTGATACTTAATTGAAATGATTTAAGAGAGATTTTATTTAAAATTTTTTCATTTCAGTTTAATTTATGACATTAAGGGCAGAGAAAAAAATCTCATTAGGGTTTATTGCTAGAGTGAATCTCTAGCATCCTTACTCTATAGATTCAGAAACTCTGGTCAAAGATACCAAGTAACTTATTCAAGATTACATAGGTGGTCATGACAAAACCAGGATTAAACTTCTACCTGTGTGTGTGTGTGTGTGTGTGTGTGTGTGTGTGTGTGTGTGTAGTGCCAGACTTAGAGTTATGCACCATGCACCTCCTCTCACATTTACTTATATTTCATTATATATTTTTGTGAGTTAATAAAGTTCAACTCTTTTATAGTTCAAGCAGAGATTTTCTGTGCTTAAAAATGTACATATAATAGTTTGTTTTGAGCAGTGATAGGTTCATTTAATTGGTAATAGATCTTTTATAATAAGAGGTGAAGTCATTTATATTCCCAGATTCAAAGTGTGTCTTTTTCTATCTCTAAATTGTATTTTGATTCTAGTTACTTTCCTTCAAGTTCTCAATCTTGTTATCTCTCTTCATTGCAGAAGATCCTTTTATTACTAATTACTTATTTAGATCAGAGACCTTGGTATTTTAGTGCCAGAATTATAGGTTAGCTTTCACTGACCATGATGTTGCCTTTCCCACCACACTTAAAATTTATAATAAACCCTAAATATTCTGAGATAAACCATTCTGTGATCTTTACACTTAAAATTTATTTTGAATCTCGGTCAGAAGATACTTAGGGTCTCTCACCTGGCTCTAAACTCAGAGAACCCTAGGTGGCCTGTTGGGATTTAAAGGCTGAGTTGCAGTTTGAATCTAGTGAAGTTATTAGAAGTTGAAGTGTTTATAAGTGATTTGTAGTATACTATGATTTCAGTCATGTTAAAGAAAAACAAAAAACAAAGACAATTCTGTATAACGAATAAATACAGGAAAATAGTCCAAAATGCTAACGGTAGTTTGGGTGAGAAGAGTGTAGGTGATTTTATTTTCTTTGTTTTGCATTTCCATATTTTCATTAATAATCATGTCATTTTTATGAAGAAAGAAAAATAAAGCTCTTTTTGGTGTAATCTAAGTATTCCTCACCCTGCTTTTCTGTGCTGCAGTGTAGTATAGCTGTATCCCCAAGGACTGGAAGCTGGTGTACTCAAAAACGTAGGCAGACGTAAAGATCAAGAGAGAAAATGTCTTCCATGGAAGCGTTGAGGTGAAGGGATTCAGATGTTTAGGAAAGATAGCAAACAGAGGAACTAAATAGTGAGATGAACCTAGTATGGTGTATGGCAAGAATCTTGAGAATTTAGAAATCCAGTAAGTTGCCCTTAACTATTACTTAATAGCCAGAGTAATCTAATTCATTGATAAAACGCTTGTGGTTTAAGTAGGAAAGGAAATTGGTGCTAATGTTTTGAAACAGGGACCATTATTGGATTGGGGATAGGAGGATAAAGACCTCCTGCATTGGTGTACGCTGTAAACTTCAAAGAATAAAAAGCCAGATAGAAAGCAAAACAAATGATGCAAAGGAAATTTAAGAATTAAGTAGAGATGGAGATTCGTTGGCAGAAGAGAGGAAGCTTAAATTCTGCATTTAGTATATGGAGGTATGGTTAAATAACAGTCTATTAGGTATGAAGTGAGGACCTAGTTTGAGTACTGCTTCTACTCTGTGCGCCTCAAGTTTTTTCTTTTGTAAGATAGCAATTAGCTATTGTCTTTTCTGATTTCTTTTGAAAATAGTAATATGCATATAAAGGAATATTTTATTTCAGTTCTAAATAAATATAAAGATCCTACCTCCAATATAGTCCTGTGATTTGTCCTTTCTATCTCCACTGCCCTGACTTTAGGCCATCGTCATATCATAGAATTTGTTAAAACAACCTCCTAACCAGTTTCCCTCTTTCAGTTTCACATCCTTTGTAATCCTCATTGCTCTCAAAGTTAGTTTTCTTAAAAGCACATGTAATACTGTCACTCCTACTTAAAAATCTTCTCTGTTTACTTACTGTCTTTAGGAAAATCTGACATAATATGCATATAAGGACAATGGTGATCATATGTGCCACTTTATGCTTGTTCAGTGTAATTATTAACTGAATGCCCCTTCACTCTCAAAAGTGTCCCATTTTGGATAACAGATTATATAGTCATTTTGGATAACAGAAACTTAATGTTTCTTTTTTTTCCAGAGAAGCAAGAGGTTTACTTTTGTCCTGTTCCTAACCTTCCTAACCTCTGTTCCCCAGAGAAGCCATATATGCTTCTTTTACTAGTATCTTCTTTTCACACTTAGAATGATCTTCTCTGCTTATCAAATCTTAACCTTTCCTCAAGACCTCAAATCTTAGTTCTCCCATGAAATATTTTCTAATTATCTGAGCTCTTCATGATTAATTCCCACCATCTAACTCTTTTTTTTTTTTAAAGATTTTATTTATTTATTTGAGAGAGCGAGAATGAGAGAGAGTACATGAGAGGGGGGAGGGTCAGAGGGAGAAGCAGGCTCCTCGCCGAGCAGGGAGCCCGATGCGGGACTCGATCCCGAGACTCCAGGATCATGACCTGAGCCGAAGGCAGTCGCTTAACCGACTGAGCCACTCAGGCGCCCCCCACCATCTAACTCTTATAATACCTTCCAAGTCATGCCGTATGTATTATAGCAGTTCCTAATTTCTTTTTCATAGTGGTAATAATAAGATGGATGCTTCAAAATGTTTGTTACTAAGTTTTTGGCATACATAATAAGTTTATTTAATAGTTAAATGTCTATGGGATATGTGGGACCATAGATTATTATTTAAGTATCCTAGAAAGCAGTATCTACAAGTCAGTCCTTACATACTCAATTTCTTAGAACACTGTCCACATACTTGAAAATGAATGAATTTAGTTACTATTTACAACTAGCTAAGAGTAATCAGAAAATTGAGGTTGAGATCATTTCAGCTGTTAAGGTACCAGACTAGACTGGACAGGTTATGTTTATTATTCTCTATGTTTAAAGCTAAACATAAAACCCTACTGTACTTACTTTTTTCCTACTGATTTTTTAAGACTTTATTTATAATCTTACCTTTTTTTCTGAGCCCTTCAATACAAGGTTTTTCACTTGATAAACTAACCTGTTTCAACTATACACATTTATAGTTTAAAAAATGCCTTTGGGGCACCTGGGTGGCTCAGTCGGTTGAGCTTGGTTTCAGCTCAAGTGGTGATCTCATGGGTTGTAAGATGGAGCCCTGAGTTGGGCTCCGTGCTCAGCAAGGAGTCTGCTTGAAGATTCTCTCTCTTTCAAATAAACCTTTAAAAAAGGTTTTTTAAAAATTAAAAATGCCTTCAGAGGGGTCGAGAGAGCACAAAACAAAAATTGTCAGACTTCTTTTTTGCAGGTGAACTCTGTCAACCTTTTCTGGTTTTGCTCACATGTACTCCAGAAAGCATAAAACTATGTTGGGACTTCTACTGGTTCCTAAGATTGTACTCATCTGTTTTTTGTTCTATTGCTTAGGTAAATTAGTTTCTATATTATTACTTAACATCCCTCTGCCCTGAACATTCTACTAATCCATTATCACTTGTCTCGTTAAATACACTATGTTCTCTACTGAATTTTTCACCTACATCTTTATTAGTGTTAAATAATCACTTTTCCTTGTCTAACATTTATTTTCCCGTGTGAGTAGACTTCCTCACTTCTCTAGTTGTACTGGGTATACTCCCATTTCTTTGCTGGAAACTATGCACTTTAAAATCTAGCCACTAGGATGGCTAATCCCTATGTAGGAGGAATAATATAAAAAAGAAAGAATACTAAGGCATAAGTTTCAAGATCACTTGTGGGGAGCAGAGGGGTAGGGTTGAGGGTGGATTAAAAAAGAAAGCAAAAATCTGCTTTTAATATATCATTTGTTAAAACCCATATCTCCTATGTACCCAGCACTGTGCCAAATACTCAGATACTATAAAGGATGCAAAAGAAGTAAAATATATAACCCTTGTTTTTGAAAAGCTTACAGGTGATATAACTTGCTCAGTTGAAGCAAGTATCAAATAATATAACTTGATTGTGTGTTGTAGGTGTTCAAAAGTGTTTCACATACTGTAGGTATAAGTCAGATCTCCAGTGAGGGTGGTGGAGTTAAAAAGGAAGCCAGTCTCCTTAAAGGTGATAGAAGGACTAGGTGGGGTGGGCTGTTGAGGGAGGATTTAGATTTGCTTAGATGTTGGTAAGGCCAGGAATTATTGTAGCCTAGGGGACTCTCCCTTAAGATGAGGAGGTGTGGATGAAAAGAAAATGTTCCTGTATTCCTAAGAAGGTCAGTCTGACTACAGTAACTATTTTATGAACAATAAGAGATTAAATTGAGTAAGTGGACATTTGGTAAATCATACTTCTAGGTAAGCCTGCAGTACTATTTTATCAGTGAATGAAGTTAGAGGAAGAAATTACATTGCATAGTTAAATGCTGATATCAACACATATAATATGTCTTATGTGTAATAGAGCTCAGGAAAACTCAGTAAGCCTTTTAATAAGTACAGATAAAATTAATTGAATGCTGGCTCTGTTGTGGCTAAGGAAAGGATGTTTGTGTTTCTTATGAATTATGCACCACATATCAGCTCTTTAGTAGACTTAAGTTCTTTTTGTAGCTACTTAACTTGGTTAATTAACATAACTATTCAGCAAATCCATGGCATTGTCTCACTTTTAATCCTGTATTTAGGTTTACAAATTACAGATAATTTTAGATGATTAACAGATGACTTGAGAGCCAGCATTGGGGTTGCTCCTTTAGGAGTTCATGGTTTACCAGTTTTTAACATTGGGTCCTTGTGTATTGTGTGTATTGTATAACCAGAGAACAGTGTCTGTGTTGTACATTTATCACAGTGAAATCTAGGGAGGACTAGCTGTTGGGAACAGGCACAGCACTTGTTCCATGTTCTACTTAGATTCTCATCGCCCATAGGCATTTCTACATTGCTCTGGTTGGCTGTTTAATACAGTAGAATTGTTGAGAGCTGATGCTGTGAGAATCAACCGTAGGCCTTGATATTGTATATATGACTGTTTATAAATGGTAATTTTAAAAGGCTTAAGATTCAGTGGTAACCGTTAGCTCCAGGTTGAAATTTGATATTTGATGGCAGAAAGTCTGTCCTAGGCCATGTAGGGGAAAATTGCCTCTGTCATTTTTGAGTTATCCAAATGCAAATTTATTTTGAATAAGTCTTCATTTAAGGACTCATTTGCATTTGTTAAATACCATAGAGACTTTCTTTTTGAAAAATGAATTGTTTCTTTTAGTTTCTTCTATGGACTAGTATTTGTGGTGACAGTTTGTTTCAATTTAAGAAAATGAGTTGCTGCACAGGTGAGGTAGTATTTGAATCACTTAAAAGTTCATGTCAGTGTTTTGGTTCTTTTCAATTTTTCCTTTCTGTTCTCTTTCTTTTGTTTATTTATTTATTTATTGCTTTGTTCTGTTTTGTTTTATTTATTTACTTTTGTTTTTAGTTTTTACAGGGGGTGTTTTGGGCTCTTCATGGCCTTGCTAACCTACTTGGCTGGCCATATTTAGTCTGCGCACTAATTGTTAGTTGGCCCAGTTGAGTCTTACTTTGTGCTCTCAGTTTTTTTAGTCTCACTTTCTATTTTTGTCCACCTGATTGTGTTTTAGTTCACAAGAGATTTTTATTCTGATGGGCCGGATTTTAATCCGTGTACTAAATTTTAGTCTGCAGACTAAAAGTAATCCGCGGATTATTTATTTTGCAAAATATTAATTCCCCCACTGGAAACTATCCTAAAAGAATGTTAAATTCTCTTAGAATAGCCAAGGGAATTCACAGCTACTGGTGAGTTCTGCCATTTTTTGTTCTCAATACCTAGACATAATAGATCCTACTACCTCCCTTGCATATTTGGCTCCGTTGTGCCTAGGTGTTGGTGTACATTACTATGCATGTCACCTATAACTGTGACTGTCCCTTAGTTGTATTGTTTATTGTATATATTTTTTGTTTAGCTTTTGGTGGGTGAATTGGGCATATTTGCACATGAAACTGTGTTGAATTTGTAGTGCTCAAAGATGTAGGGTTTTTTTTTTTTTTCAGTGAGTTTTTCCAAAAAGGAGAATGTTCTATATTTATTTTTACTAAGTAATGGGTGCAAGGGTATGAGGGGGCAAAGCCCACAATAGAAAAAGTAAGTTATACCCGCACTCTTGAGGTGATATGTCATTTGCCTGAAGAATCCTAAAATAATGAGAATGTCAGCAAATATCTTTTAGCAGGGAAGTCAATCCAAAATGGAGAATAATCCGCGGTGGCCTGATCCTTCTTAGCTCACACAAATTGAAAATATCTGGCTTGAAATCTGTAGTAATATAAATTAAATCTATTTATTACTTTCCTCTCATCACTAATAATTAAGCAAAAAATGTTTATACTGTCTAACTGAAATATATTAATAGATAAAAATTAGCATATTGGGAACTGATGTCTTTAAAAGCAGGCTAATATGCCCCCTCCCAGCCATGTCAATGGATGATGAATCCAGGTCGTAGAAGACCAAACACTTTACTTTGGGAAGTTTACTTCTAGATTTCATTTTGATTTTAACTTTTTTTGGTTTTGTATTTTTTTAATAAACGCACTGGCATTGGAACATAATAAATTAAAATTAAAATGTTTCTTTATTGTGCCTCACCATTGCGCAATCAAAAAATTTTTTTGCATACACTGTGGTGAAATAATTTTTAAAACTTGGACTTGCTACTGTGGAGACTGATGTTTAAAGTTTATAACTGTATAAACATTTTCTATGTCCCCCCCCACACCATGGATTTCTTATAACACTGGATATATTTTTCCTTGCTGGACTATTCTCTTTTGGATTGACTTCCCCTGTTTGGATTATTTCACTGCATTATCATCTTTAGGATTCGTCAGGAACAGGACATTTCACCTCAGGAGTGCGGGTATGTACTTAATTTTTTTTTCCCAAAATTTCAGGGCAGATCTATATATAAAACTAGGGGGAAAACTTTTTTTTAGAAAGGTTAAACCATTATTCATTCTAGAAATGTAATAGTAAAAACAATGTAGGTAGCTGTGATTTTTTTTTTTTTTCCATCCACTGTATGGGATAGGTTTTACTTACGGTATATTAAGATTGTCAGTCTCCTGAGTGATTTATTAACATCTAGACCGAAGTTTAGGAACTGTGGGATTTAGAACTTATTTTTACGATAATAAATATTAACAAAGATGCACAGAACTAAAGGTTCTGAATGTTAAACAATTTAAGTGAGTAAGGAATAAAATGGCATTAGAAACTTCATTATTAAAAGCCATATTTCAGTTGTTATTGGTTTCCCTTTCTTTAGACACAAAGATAATTCAGAAGAGCTGTTTTCTAGTTTGGCCTGTAATTTTTTGAAGTAGAATACTACCACACCCTATATTATGGTGACACATCTGAACTTTGGAAGACACTGGGCTTTGACTCCACGTAATTTCCTACTTAGCCTTAATCCATAGAGTACTAAACCAAGGCTTTGCTCATCAGGAATCTCTCAAAAGTGTTTAAAATAACAGTGGTACTTTTTAAAAGGCAGATTAAGTCTTGATTTTAATATGGGCTCTTAGAATGAGTTCTTCTTTATTGTTTTTAACTCTTTGATTCCATGAGTTAGGATTCCCTGGCAAAATAGGCTAATACGTGTCTTAGTACCAACATGGATGGTTACTTGTAGCCAGTAAGATACCAAATGAATGTGGATGATTTTTTTTTAATAATTAGAGATAAGCTTACAATAGTGGTTTATTAATAGCTTTAATACAAAATCCTCATTAATGTAACATGAAATTTTTTCACTTAAAATACATTCACTGTCCAGCTACCCTACATTTGAATGTTGGCCGGAGATATTTATTTCTACTTTTGGTGGTACTTTTAATTCTGCTTATGCACTCCCATATTGGTGCAAAAGCATTTTCCCTTAGACTGGCTAGCAAAATAAATCCATATGCTGTGAAATAAATACAAACAGCCCTCAGGGATAAAATAGGTCAGTAATGCTTAATATTTTTGTGAAAAATTTTCAGAGTTTTCCCACTGATTATTTTCTTTTACATTCGGAGTTTGATTATGGACCTGGCTAGGAAGCAAGAGAGGGAAAAATGACTGAGAACAGTGGAAGATCTAAACATTTCAAATAATACAATACCTAAGGTTTCCTTGAATGGGGTGAGTCAGATCACTCAAAAGAATAAAGATAAAGCAATTTTTGACCGTACAGAGGGTTTTCTAATATAGTCAAATAAATAAGGTCTTTGATGCTCTGAAATAAATTCCTGGGATCCTACCCAAACCAATTTCTCAATTTCCGTGGAAAATATCTTTATTAGTAATAAACTTTGTGTAAAAACTAAAGGAAAAAAAAGGTTTTCACTGTAGAAAGTATTCTTACAGTCTCTTGAAAAGTAATGAGCTCTATAGTAGTAACTAGTTCTGCTACCTTCAGCCTAAGTGATAGTTAGATGTTACATGAGCCATTCTCATTAGGAAACCTTACTCCCAGGCTTCTCCATCCTCATCACAATCCACATGTCCTTCCCTCACTATTTTTCTCCCTTTAAAACACATCTGCCTCTCTTTATATGTCTGTCCACTACCACAACCACACCTTCTGTTTGATTGTTTTCCCCCTATCAAGGGATATATGTTTCATTTTTCTTTAGTTTCAAAGACTTTCTGTCTATCTATTTATGTTTATTTCTGTTTTTCCCCTTTCTGCTTTTATTCAACTGTCCTTAATTTAGAACAAAGTTATTTTCATAGTTTTATGTATCTATTTGGAGTTTTAAGACATAGATGTGTAGAAAGCTTTCTGTTCTTTTAAGCAAACTAATTTATTTGCATTTTGCTTCAACACAGCCTTCAGTTGACTTTTTCTATGAGTTAATGTCTCAATGAAATGCACTTAATGAAAAGTACATTTCCGTCTCCCTAATTAAGACCCTAGAATATTCATTCAAATGAGGGTAATCTGGCCATGTGTGATAACAGCTTTTGTGATAACAGCTATTCTTTGAGAAAACAGTTTCGGACATTTTGTCAAATTCTGGGTATTCAAGAATTTCTTCAAATAAGATAGACTCTGTTTATTGAAGAGATAATACCAAATCATAAGCATTTCTAGACCTAAAGTAAATAGCTTTTCTTTTTCAAAAAATATTGCCAAATTTGAGTAGTGCTATTCATTACTGACAATTGTTCTGCTAAAAATCACACACAAGAAGCAACCTTTTTTTTACTGCCACAGTAGTCAAAACTTTTAGAAAATTTTAATTTTCTTCTAGTTGTGCTTGCCTCCAGAACTCAGCCTTTCTCTTGTGCCTATCATATCGTATTTTGTGTACATATTTAATTGTACTGCTTTATGATTAGCAAATGTAGATTTTTTTTAATTTCCCCTAGTTTTTTCTCTGAGCTTTTCTCATATAGTTTGTAATTAACTGTTCACCCCAGTGTGGTGAATCATATGCAGTTAACTCTTTTCATTCTAGAAGGTTCCTTTTGCAAATGCAACCATGTTGTTGTAAGTGGTGGGAATGAACTCATACTCAAAGGATAATTTGCTATGATTGTTACAATAAAGCATTAATTGTTCTTTGCCCTTTTTTGTACTGCAGGTCTTCCGACCCCGGACTCCACCGGAAGCAATTGCACTGTGTAGCCGTCTGCTGGAGTATACACCAACTGCCCGATTGACACCACTGGAAGCTTGTGCACATTCATTTTTTGATGAATTAAGGGACCCAAATGTCAAACTACCAAATGGGCGAGACACACCTGCACTCTTCAACTTCACCACTCAAGGTAATTCCATACACTTAGTTCTGTTTTTTACCATTTCTGAGAAAGCTACATACGTGTTTGAAGTGACATTCTTTTAGTAAAAATCTGTGTAGGACAAAAGTGGGCATATTAAGTACTTACACAGGTAGGAAACATCCTTTCTAACCACTTATTAGGCTACTACTTGTATGGTTTTGAACAAAATAGTGGCAGATAAAATTTTTCCAGTAGACGTAGTTTCTCTCATTTTTGGCAGATTATAATAAATCTTGGCACATGAGAAGCTATAGAGATTTCACTATTAAGACTAATGTACAATTTAACTTTCAAATTTGTATTTGAAACTTAGAATGTTATATGCATTTCTTGCTTCCCAAGGATTTATATCAAATTTTTTAAACCTGGAAATAAATTGGTGGCTATATTTGTATAAAGTCAGATATCTTATAAACAGAAGGAAAACTGGAATTCTAGAATTCTCTTTCTTAGAACTTATATAAGGGATGTAGATAGAGAATTCTCTTGCCTTCTGGGGCTTGGCACCGTTGATGCTGCTGAGAAAATGTTGAGAGGAAAAACAGTTTGTGCACTGGTGGTTTCTAAAAGGCCCAGGTAGAGTCATCATTTCTTAATCACTTGTGTGTCCACTTTTCTTTCCTCTCTGATTAAGACCCTAAGTGATTCATTTAATCAACTACACTGCCTTTGATGCTGTGATTTTCTTCATAAACTGAACATTAAAAGTGTACAATTTCCTAGAGATAAAATAAGCAATAAATAGTCGATTGATTAGTCAGCTTAGTCAAACTTAAAAATATAGAAGGGAGATGGAGAGCTTTCTATGACCAGGAAATAGGTATAGTTCCTTTATCCTAAGATGAATTTTCCTCCCATATTTAAACTTTTCTAAAATTGAAAGTGGGAAAATGCATTGCTTAAGCAGTAGATTTGGAAGACGTGAGTTGCTAGTAAAATAGACTTGGATGATTCCATTGACTATAATCTTAAGCAGTCAATAACATGTAACTACTAGCAGTGCTGATATAGTCTTAAACTACATTCATAAAGGAAAAATGTTCAGATATCCTGGCATTAATTCTGACTAGGGCTGATCAGAAATCATTTGGAATGTTGTTTTAGGTCCTACACCATTTTTAAGATGTTAATGAATGGCCGGTAGGGTATACAAAGGAACAGAATTGACTATAGATCCTGGAAAAGTGAAGACTTAAGGAACTTTTGAGAACAGTCTAAAAATACCTCATGGATTATCTTCTAAAGAAAGATGTAGACCTGTGTTCTTTCTCCTGATTATAAAATTGAAAATAGTAGTAGCAGAAAATTAGAAAACAGTACATATTTGAGTTTATTATACAAACATCAGCCCCTGGCATAGATAGAGACTAAATAAAATTGATGAATCAATGAAGTTTTCAGTTGTTTAACAGTGGAACAAGTTTTTTTGTTTGTTTTCCAAAATACTGATCTTTATATCAGGAAAAAGCTGGATGATGTCAAATGTTATAGATAAGATTATTACAATTTGGCTATAGGTTAGACTCTTCTAGAGCAAAGAGTCTATGATTTTGTGTCATTAAGAAAATAAATTTTATTTTCAATTTTTACTGCTTTTAATCAAGAGTCGTACATATATATTAAGGAAAATGTTGAAAATGCAAAAGAAGTATAGAGAAAATTAAAATCACTGTCCCCAAATAATCACTTTTAGCATTCAAATTAATCACTATAAGATTTTATAGTGTAGCTCTTTTCAATCTTTTCTCTAATGCATATACTGATAATCCCTGAATATAAAGTGATACTCTACTCTCCCATTAAGAATATCCCAAAAAGGTTTCTTTTGATTAACTCAAATGTATTTAAAATTATGCATTATATAAATCAGTATTTATTCAGGAACTTTACTTTTTTACCTCTCAAGTTTCATAAAACAATTTTATTAATACTTTTTTTTAAAGATTTTATTTATTTGACAGAGAGAACAAGTAGGCAGAGAGGCAGGCAGAGGGAGAGGGAGCGCTAAGCAGGGAGCCCGATGTGGGGCTCGATCCCACGACCCTGGGATCATGACATGAGCCGAAAGCAGCCGCTTTAACCAACTGAGCCACCCAGGTGGTTTTTACATCTGTGTCTTTGTCATCAGTAGAGCTACATTTTGAACTATCATAAATTTTTTGATATGAAGCAGTTTTTGAATCTGTATGAGGCCACTACTGGAAATTCTACAAGTATCCATTTTCATGAGTTGTTTTATTTTGTTTTTGTACTGTAGATAGCTGTTTATTATCTGTACATAAACCTATCTGCTGGGTTGCTTTTTAAAGTGGTCTCTAAAAGGCTCTGTATACAATGACATGTAGCACTTGCAACTGTGGAATCTTGGCATCAGAAAGTACTAAGTTAATGTTAAATTTATTTGTCTCCTTTTTTTTTTTTTAAAAACCAGTTCTGTCAGGTGAACTTAAGAGTTTCCCAAACCAGCATTGATTATGGTTTTATTCACACTAAATATCTTCTCCAATAAGTACTTTGTTTCTCAAAATACATGAATCAAGGAAGCTTTTTGTCAAGTAAGCAACTTGATAGAACCCCAAACACAACAAGATATTTATGATGGATACATTTTGGAGAATAATTCTTATATTCAGACATATTAGGTACCTACTCTATAATGCACTTGTATGTGTTGATCAAAATTGAGATATTACTTAAACATTATATTTAATCAGATTTAAAAATCCAGGATTCTGTTTCACTGTCCATATGTACCATTTTTGAAATAACTACATGTGATTCTTTAGTCACTGGCTGATAATTTTTCATTATTACTAAAGAAAATAAAATTTTAAAACAACTGAATTTGTTTTTCTATGGATTTCTAAGCTTTTTTGAAAACAGATAAAATTCATATAAGACGAGCCATTTTAAAGTAAACAATTCAGTTTACTTTATTTAGTATATTCACAGTGTTGTACAACTGCCACCTAAATCAAGTTCCAAAACATTTTCATTGATTCTAAAGAAAACTCCATACCCATTAAGCAGTCAGTCCCATTAACTACTCCTCCAACCCTTGGCAACCACCAATGTGCTTCCTGCTTCTGGACTTACCTATTCTGGATATTTTAAATAAATGAAATAATATATTATGTGACCTTTTGTGTATGGCTTCTTTCTTTCTTTTTTTTTTTTAAAGATTTTATTTATTTGAGACAGA